TGTTGGGTTTTGTTTTAATCAAAAAACCCTTCCCCTCTGACTTAGCACAGAGATGGAGATGCCCCACGCTTCAAGCATGGGTTAAGCTCCCAAATTCCCATTCAATGAATATTAACCTGGTTTGCAGAGAAGTGAGGTGGACACTGAATCCAGACTACCATCAAATCAGGACAAGCATGCATCAGATGCAAACAGCACACACAAATAGGTAGAAAGGAAAGACAAACATCCCCTGGCGTACTGAGTGTCCTGTATCCCCGTGTCTCTTCCCACATCCTTTACTTTTATTCCCCATCCTACTCTATTTCCTCTGCTTTCATTCCCCCTCACAACCGCTCAGGCAAAGCATCAAAGGAAGCTTCATTATCACCTCTCAGCTTTCCTGAGATCGCTGCAGTGATGGTTTACCAGTGCCAGGCTTTGAGCTGGCTCAGCAGATGCCATCCACCCTAAACAACAGTGAGAGCTGCATCCCATTTCTCTGCCCTCAAACATAGCAAGCTGCGACTCTGGATGCTTGAAACTGAGACTATCTCATGCTACCACTGTCTTCTTCCATGCCACACAGTTTTAGGCCATGCTTTTCTATTTTCAATGTGTGAACAGTTCCCTAAACCCCTTTCTTAATCAACTATCACACCCTTTACATTCAGGTACCAAACAGTGCTTGATGATGGCATAGTCCTCCAGCAAGATGAACAGGCTGCACATTGCATTACCCATGGGCTTTGGTGACTGCAGTTCAACCAGAACACCCAAAGTTACAAGGGGGAAAGGAATTAGGAAGAAGAATGCTGACTTTTCATTGGTGGTGTTAAGATGTTCATACTGCTGCTGAAATACCCTTTAATTCCTTTGTTCACTAGTTGATACGTACTAGGAGGCTGTTTGGTTTTATGGCAGATAATTACGGCCGTGCACGTCAGGGCTGGCAACTGAGGAAGCTTTAGAGACCGATCCTTGAGATGGAACAGATCACAGAGACCAAATAAAACCATTCACAGGGGCCCCAGTCATGACCATGGTAAAAACCAAACTTTACACAATTTCATATTAAAACCAAAAGGCCACATTGCAGCTCCACCTGCATTCCCCGGATGGCCACTGCCTCAAACTGGAGCTATAAAACCACAAGGAACACTGGACAGGGATCACTTTAGAAAACATCCCTTTTCCCCCTAGCAAGGAGCAGACTGCCTCAAGTTCACATCCTCACATAAATCAATGGAATTTCCATAATTTATCCCAAAGATTGATGCAGCCTGTTTATAAGGAGTTAAGCTGTCAATCACATTTAAAGAGGATTCAGCCTGAAAAGCCAGGTAAAATTGATTCCTCCCCTAAAGACTCCGAGGAGGGAGCTGAAAAAGCAAGCATGGGAATAGTAAGGAATCCCTTTGGCATTCAGAGTGCTGAAGTATTCAGTGTAGTGAGAACTGTTCCAGCCCTACAGAGAGCAAACATGTTATCTCTGCTGTATAAAGCGTTTCTCTCTCTTTATGGGCCTTGAACCTCCTCATATATTTACACTGGACACCAAAATGATCATTATAGGCCAGACCTACAAGGTGAAGACCCCAGCTTGCCCCCCGGGGTCATTAACTTCATGCCTCCCATGAGCTCCGGATCTGCCTCCCTGCCACCAAAGCAGCCTGTCAGCAGCGCTGCAAAGTGAAATCAGCAAATATTAATTGCCAGCTGGGAAATCTGCCATTAGCTCACACTCAAGATCCTTTTTCCAGCTGGAAAGACAGAGTGTGATAAATGGAGCAGATTTCTTTGCAGTCTGGGAGCCAGCCGACAGAGCGAGTTTGCCTGTTTTGCAAGCACTAAAATGAGCAAAATACCCAACACCTTCCTAAGAGATGGCTTTGAAATGCTATTCACTGGAACAAATGATTTCTGGAAGTACCAGCACCAAACTAATACGTGGACAACAAATAAAGTAGTGGAAATAAAGCACCATCACCTGAGGCTGAATTCGTATTTGCTCAGCATCACTGCAGTGATTTATCGTATGAGTTATTAGCCTGCTTGGGGTCCCCCCCCCCAAGTCTGTAATTTATGTACATTTAAGCATCAAAAATGTTCTGTCAACATACAGATGATTATCATTTCCCATAATTAGAAAGAAACTTTCTGAAACTGGAGGAAAGAAAAATGAGAAGTTGAAAATGAAAGATGCCATTCAAGACCCCAAAATCCTAAGATTACAGGATGATGTGGGTTGGATGAGGTCTTGGAATTTAAACCTTTAGTGCAGGGTCAGACCAGGTTGCTCAGGGCTGTGCCCAGCCAGGTCCTAAAAGCCTCCAGGATGGATGTGCCACTTGAGGAGCCTGTCCCACCACTTGAACATCCTCCTAGGAAAACATTCTCCTACATCCAAGCAGATCCTCTCATTTCAGCTCTCCCCTTTGTTTCTCATCCTCCTCCCATACAGAGCAAGGCTCCAACCTCTATGCTATATGTGCCTAAATATCATAAAAGAACAAGTTATTCTCGCTCTTCCAATGTTCACACACACTTGCACACGTATGTGGTACATACACATACAACCCAGCACACTGCATGCACGTTCAAAGCTCATGGCATGAAATACTGTTCTAAGCAACAGTGAAAGGCCCCAACCCAGCAGCATGACTGTGTGCATAATGAAGAGAAGAAAGACAGGGATTTCTTTCCAAATTCTGTACCAAATCCATACAAAAATGTGATGGATACGTTAAATGACCAAAAAAATCCTTTCCCAAACCACACAAAATAAAAAAGAGCTTTGCTGTTTGCTTTGTTACCAGTTTAACTGAGGACAGACCTGGCTCACTCAAAGTGGAACTGGAGTATTTGATCTCTGTCATACTTTAAGGCCATCCAGTTTGTCTCTGATAACGGGGTAAACTGGCAGAGCACACAGATGGAATCTGCAGCATCCCTCAGCTCTACTCAGGGACTTAAGCTTTAATTGAACAAGCCAGCCGGGACCAAAACCCACAAAGCAGCCCACTCACCAGCCTGCCTGTACTCACATAATTAAACTATCTCCTGGATAGAAAACAAACAGAAAGCGTGTGCCTGCTGAGAGATGTACACCTCATATCCAGCGCGTTTAAGGTTGCTCTCCGAAGTTTTACCCTTATCATAAAGCTGATACAAACCTGTTGCTTAATTGCTTACTAAAAATCTTCTAGTCAAAAGAAAACACCATCATTCTGTGATTTACAACTAGCAGACTAAAGTACAAAGACATGAAAAGATATACAGCAGGTTACTCAGGAGCTACATGGCAAAAACAAGGGCTGAAGCCAAATGCTCCTATGGAGTCCCACTCTGTGGGATTATTCCCCCCTTAAGGCAAACTTTGCTTTTCTATATTTTATCTCTGCAGACAGCGGTACGAAGCACTTTTCATTTATTCATGCAGGAAGACAAGTGAGTTTGTTTCTTCCCTTCCATAGAGCTGTTGTTCTGCTGAAAAGCAGATTTAAGCAGTGCTCCATGGCAAGAGTTTAAGGGTTACTTTAAACTGGGACACCAGACTACTACTTTCTGATATCATTTCATGGCATGTTCAGGAAAGTAGTCAAGCGTGACATTGTATCATTAGGTATAATACAGCCACTGCAGAGGCACTGATTACTGCAATGAGAACTCATTTTCTTTAACGCTCTATGTGATAAGCAATGAATAAAAACCCAGGCCAGAAGCATCATTGTAAGAAGGTGGGATACGTACAGGAATGAAAAAACTGAGGACACTTTTTGGGAGTCAGGGGAAGAAAACTCCTCTTCCTCTTGGCCTGCTCATGTGCTGTCCTTCCAAATATGCCTTTAGGTGACCCTTTCCATGACTAGCTTCATACAAGGCCTACTGACCCTAGATCTAATTAACCTCTTCAATTCAGAGTGTGCTGTGACAAACTAACCCAGCTCAACCAGCGTTTACCAAGTCCATCCTCTGACCAGCTCCTCCAGAATAAATGAGACAACAGTAATGCTTTTCTACCTCCAAAGAGCCTCACAAGGATATATTAATAAGACTCTTTGAGTAGGCTCCTGTTTCTTCAACAGGCTCTTCCAGCATCATGTTAGTAAACGAGAACATGTGATGTACAGCTCTGTACACAGCCAAGCTCCTCAGGGGCTCAAATGCCCGGTGAGCTGGAGATAAAGGAATTATTTTCATATTTGATCACATAAATGTCACTGGATATATTTGCAACAACCTACTCCAATCTTACTGTAAGTATATGGCGTCGTATTTGACAGCGAGTTTGAGGTATGCTCTAGTGAGGCCTTTACAAGACCTCTCATTAGAAATAAAATCATTGATGACATCCTCCACTCCCTGGAGTTTCATCACACACTCCTGGCTACTGCAGCCCCACTTGACTTGTGACAGGATGGTACGTGGCATGCAAAATATTGATGGAAAAGACACAGGACCCCATCCCTTTTGTGGCTTGGTGAAATAATGATAATGGAATTTGCTACTGAACCAGTAAAACAGCTGAAGATGTATACAGCCTATGGGTAACCAGAACTGTTCTGGTTGTACACTCTCATTTCATCTACACAGCTTCTTTCCTTTGTCCGTGCCATTCACCTAAGTAGGGTTTTGTTTCTCACTGTTGCAACAAACTTTTTGTAATACCATATACTTTTTCTTAACATCTTTTGGCTTCTTCAAAGCCTCAACAAATGGACAGGATTGTACAGAAGTTATTACACTGGCAGCTGAAAGCACTGAGCAGCATACAACGCATACAGCGATGTTAATGATTTACCAGTTCCCAGTTTGATTACATTTTGGGTGGTGATGATACTAAGGAGCTTAATAGCTCCATAAAACATTGTGTTATGTTCTACAGCGTCCTAGAGTAAATCATCCTTGAAGAATTTCTCTTTTAGAAACAACAGCAACCATTCAGCCATTTATCACGATTACGGTGAGATGAGTGATGAAAGTCCTACAGAAGTATTTATTTTTAATGATGCCCTTACCTTTGAAGAAACAATCCTTGCTGTGGATAATGTAGATTTTCTTCCTCTGCAGGCAGGAGGCTCGATGCAGTTGACAATGATTCTCATAAAATTTGCCATCAGATCCACACACGGGCATGTAGCTGGACTTGCAATCCTCCACACATCTGCACTCGGGCTGGTTGGTGTCCTTGTTCACCACACACTTACTGCCCCGGCCACAGTACTTCTGCTCACACGATGCATGCAGGCCATCATCCCCATAAAGCACTGGGAAGAGCAGAAAAGATCAGCATGAGCAACGTTTGCCTAAAAGAATCCTGAAATGGTTTGTGCTGGAAGGGACCTTAAAGCTCATCCAGTTCTAAGCCTCTACCATGTGCAGGGACACCTTCCACAAGAGCAGGCTGCTCCAAGCCCCTGTGTCCAACCTGGTCTTGAGCACTGCCAGGGATGGGGCAGCCACTTTATCATGTATTTATTATTAGGAAATAAACCCTTGATTTGGTACCTTTCAATAACCAATTTCAGACCACACTTCTCCATTGTAGCAGCACAACCAGCACAGGAGCAGGAGCTACAATACAAGGCTTCCAAGGCAATAAGCTCAGCCCTTCCAGTAGCAGCAGTCTGAAGAGCATGCTCTTCACCTGTGCTCCCAGACCTCACTCATCACAACATTAAGCCATGAGCTGAAAATGTTTCACTGAGACATGATGGATGCGTGGCTGCTTGTTCTTTTAGCCCTTTGTGAAGCTAGACCCTAGAATAAAGGCCAGTGAGAGCACTTCAGTGCCCAAACTTAGGCCATGAGTTACATTCAGAAAGCAATTCTCAAAACCTACGCTCCTCCAGCCTCAGAACTCACAAGGAGCTTCAATTTCTGGCAGCAAAGTGCCTTAAGTGCCAGCACTTCAGCTTCTTGTATCCATGTCCGCATTCACAGTCTAACTTCCACCCTGTAAGGCAGAAGCCGAGCATTCCCAAAGCTAAAATTCACACAGGTTTCAATGAAAGCTCAGACAATTGCTGAGGGCTTTTGCTATAATAACCCCCAGGAAAGACTGTCACTGAAGTCAAGGGACTATTACAGGAAGATGCTTCTCGCTGTAAAAGCAGCTATCAGTATCCTTACACTCTGAATAATGACATATAATGAAAAAACAACTTTCTACTGCTTTTAAGAATTCATTGGGTATAATGTTCTGAACATTACTGTACTATCTGCTGTGTGATGCTATTAAAAGGCCAAGGAAGCTGCCCTTGTGCTATAACATCTGCTTCTGAAGTTTCCTTGCTTAACAGCTTGCAGCAGAACATTATTATAATTCAAACAGGACAGGGCACTGCCAAACAAGCCACTACTCAGAGCAATAATTAGCATTGTTCTCAATGAAAAGAGTAGCCAGAAATTAGATTATTCTATGCTAATTGGAGTACACAAAGTTGGGAATTACAAAGGGATGCTGCAAGAGGCATAATTAAAGCAGGAATAAACACTTTGTCACGCATAACCTGCCGCCAGCCTTGCAGAGCCTTCCAACAGCCTCTGGCTGTTCCCATGCCAGTGATGCAGGCTGGACCAGCAAATCCCTGTTGTCTCCATCTACCACATGCAGGTTTGGCTCTTGCCAAGGTTTTAGTGCTTGCTGGCTTCCAGAGGAAGCTCAAGTGGATGCACTCCTGCAGATGGGCTCCAGCATCCAATGGGACAACTCCTGCAGCAACCAGCACCACAACATCCTCCAAAATTCACCCAGGACTCTTCCCTTCAAAGATGCTTCAAGCAACAGAACAGTTCAGCTTAGCAGAGCAGGCTGGATCTCACCTAAAGACTCCCAGTCGCATGTAGTGGAGATGTGAGGAGCACCAGCACCAGCGACTGCAATCTGTCGATCCTTTCTTATCATGCTAAATTCCTTGCTAACATCGACACAGCCCCTGCCTGCCCAGCATTTTATGTCAATATGAAATGTCCCAGTGTTGAAGCTACGTTTCCCCTACTAGTGATCCAGAGGTTAGAGCCTGTACACAAAGACAAGCAGAAGTTTCTACAAAAGCCCATTTTTCTCTGTCCCTGTTAAGCCTTTGTTTTTATCACTGTAAATCTGAATGGGGAAAAAGTCTGGTATTGGAGGATTAACTATTTGACTCAATAACTCATTAAAATTCCTCCCACTTGGCAAGCTAAGAAATATTGACTTTTCCTGACTTGTAATAAACTAGAAGGTCAAAGCACCTCTGAGCTGTGCAAAAAGTAGTCCCTGGAAGGAGGATCTGACTGCTCTTTATTAAGTCCACTAATTGTTTCAGAATTTCTGGATAATGTCCTCAGGAATGCAAATCCTGTGGCCTCAAGGAGATCTCATTGCCAAGGCCATCCACATTCATGGGGTCTGCTCTAGATCCAAGCAGCACGAAGGTCTAGGCTTGAAGAAGCATCCTTCTCCTCTCATGGCAGGACCTACACCTGTACAGGCATATCGGTTGCAATGTGCCTCAAGTTACATGTTTTGGACGCTGCTGTTGATGCTAAAGATGTTGATTCAGGAGCTATTATTGTCTATATCGATGTAATTCAGTCACAAGTACAGCAAACCCTTTTCTTCTGCTGTCTTGATGACTAAAACTTTATCTCTCAGATCTAGCACCCACTGAGGACTGCACCACACATCTTGTGGAGGGTTACTTCTGCCTCCTCATTCACAGTGGGCTGCTTTGATTTAATGCATCAGGTCACATCTGGGCAGGCCACAGCTGCACCCTACCCAACAGCTACCGCAGGCACCAGCAGCAGCAAAAACCCTCTTGAAGCCTCAAGTCCTTTTTGGTGTTTTGATTTTTAATGTAAACTTAGCGTTACTGAAGACAAATGCTGATCTTGTGCAATGCAAATCCTACGTTTCTTTCATGATACACCAAAGGTTTGGTTAAGCACCAGCTTATAAAAAAAGACAAAATACTTTCCTACATCCACCCTGGTTACTATGGAGAAACCACAGAAAGCCTGTCTATGTTTATGCCTCATTCATTTTGTTCACAGTTTGCTCTCTTTTATGTTCCCAGATGCATAATTCCTGTTTAAACACACCTAAGGTGGGTGAGGGGTTAGGAAGGATAACCTGCAAACAGCTAGAAAGGAAAGACTTGTGTATTTGGGAATCCTGATATGCTTCTACTAGTCCAAGCCTTCTGAAATCCATGTGCTTGCGACCAGAATGTTAACATGGGATGTCTTTGCCAGAATCTGATAATGTTGATAGCAGCTCTTTAATTCAATTACTATTTGCATAATCCTTTGAAGAACTAAAGCTCCCCACAAGCACACTCACGTGTACAGACAGACCCTCTGCCCAGGAAGAACAGTAAGGGGATGCGGAACAGAATGAAGCCAGTGGAAGCAAAGAGGAAGGGAGGTACTGGATTATAAAAGCACTGTTGTCTTTAATAATTCATCCAAAGCAGCACCATGCACCATGGAAAAGGACCTTCCTTCTATGCATTAAGATGCCTTCTCGAGGTGATCCCATGGGCATCACCTGAGCCAGGAAGGACAATGGGTGTGTGTAGCTCAGCACCATGCCATCTCCATTCTTTGCCACATCATTAGAAGTGACTGAATTCCCCACTCCTACAAGGGTTATTAAAAACAGAAAGAGGAAAGGTAACCAAGTGAAACTCCCAACTAACTGCTCACAGTATTTATGAGCCCCGATGCACTGCATGGGAAAAGGCATGACTTGTTTGATTTATTAGTCACAAAGTCACTTACTCAGGTTAAAAATGGATCATCTTGCAAAACAAGCCACTTTTCAACACTAACTAAGTTTATCCAACATGGCTGGAGTCAGAGTTGTTCTACTGTATTAAAGCCCAGAAGGATGGAGAGAGGAAACCCATTCACATACACCCACGAAAACACTCCACCTCTCACACCTGCCTGCCTGCCCCTGAGAAATTTGGAATTCCAGTGGAAAAATGACAACTTGGTGCAGGCAGTAAAATAACTGAGTCCAGGAATTTCATTAGGCTTATTAAAAGGAAAAGTAAGATGTTATTGACACACTGGAGAAGTGTCCTCTGCCCATGCATTAATTCATAAAGACAGAGACCTCATCTACCTTTTCCACACCACTAAATAACAGAGATCAGACTTTTTCCTTTACTCCCAAACACAACCCTATTCCTTACTCCAGGAAAACTCCAAAAGCATTCAAGGGCTTCAAGTAAAAGCAACCAAACCCATCACGCCTATGAGCAAAGCCAAAAACCAAACGGCTCCATTGCATCGATACTCATAGAAACTTGCTTCTACACTGCAGAAAAATTATATTACTACATTTATATATAAAAAGCCACTTTGCCTTCGAGTTAACAGTGAGCTCCTGCAGGCAGCTGGACATCCAGCTTCATTGCTGAAGGGAAAAGTTTAGGTATTACATCAGAACTAGAGCCCAAACTGGAATCTTTAATTATAGGGCACTGGAGACTAGTAGAACTGAAACTGGAAGGTTCTATGCCAAGTTCTTCAAAGGCAACGTTGCACCTTGCAGATGTTGTCCCAAAGTAAAATCAAACCCTCTGTAACATGATAAAAATATTCAGTCTCTAATCTTAGCTTGTTATGTCCACGAGATAAATCAGTGAGGTAACAGTCACGAGCTGTTCATCCAGCATCTTGACATCAGTCTTCCAGCATTTTGCCTTTCCTACATTAAATCATCTCCTATGGTCTAAAATGTCACGCTATTTACTGCTGAAAAACATATATTGACAGTACATATAAATATATATACGCACCCACATGATGCACATGAAGTTGTACGTGTTTAACTAAGCATCTTAGAGCAGGACAGAGAGGGATGCAGCAGTTTTAGAAGAGGGAGACAGCAAATCAGTTACTTTCACTCATTCAGATGCCCTCCACGGAACAAAACACAGGATGAGGTGGAAAGCCTCCTCAAAACAAAAAGGAGGAAAACTTGCCCTGACGGCCACGTTATTTCAGGAGGTCTCTTGCAGAGTTCAGAAAACAAAACAGTCACCAAAAGGAAAGGAAAATCTACTCCAGAAAGGAGTATTGCGATGAACAGCTACATCGGTAACACCGGCACCAAGGGCACTGCTGAATCAGGGTCTGCAGTTTAATATCAAAGACAAACAAATTGGAATTGCTCAATCAAAGTTCAGGAAGAGCGAGCAGTGACTCTGCAAATAACACCAAGGAAACACTCAATATTATAGGAAAATTTTCCATATCAATTTCTATG